CTAGATGCATTTGGTTAAGTGGCACCTTGGAAAACATTTAGGCCTCGCTTTTGTAGAGGAAACTTTTGAGAGGTTAAGTAGGGCTGCATCCGACTAAAGATTTTTCTAGTCGACTTGACTAGTAGTCGACTAAACATGCAATTAGTCAAGTAATCGTACATTTTTATTAATTTATTTAAATATATACTGGGGGGTGGGGAACTGAACAATAATGATCCTTTAATATATAGCCTAAATATATAAAGCTTGCCGCAAAGCACAGGCAAATGTAATGACTATGTGTTTGGAAAAATAGCCAGGAGATATTTAAATTATTTATTAATAAACTAGTGTTTTCTCAGTCAGTGTGTCGGCTGCAAAGGTGAAGTTGACAATGTTCTGCAAAACAGTGACGTGCCTTCAGAGAGAAATGCAACACGGATTACATAATCAGAGAGAACTTGTTTTAGATTTGAATTGGTTTATTTTAGAGTAGACATTTTGAGCTTCCAGTACATATATTTCTCATGTCTGTAAGGCAAGTAGCCTATGAGTTTCGCCACGCTTGATTTTTGTGGCGTGCTCCAGTTTACGGCAGAAAGCGCACCCTGTTCTTTCTTTCACAAAAGCACAACGTCTTGTTGATATTGTGAATTTATACAAATAAAAGTAGACCCTTTACAGTTTCGGATGATGCATTACTCTTATCTGCATGAGCAAAAATGATGGCGGCACAAACGTAGCACAAACGAATGGCATAGTTTTGGTGATTATTTATTTTAATGGGGTGTCATCATTTACTCACCCTTATGTCATTCCAAGTGTTCCAAACCAGATCTTGTTCTGCAGGACACAAAAGAAGAAATTTTAAATAATGTTTCAACTGTTTAACTTTCCTAAGCTCAAAGAACTGGGTGTAAAATTAATGTATATCTGAAGGGAACTCACTGTCTTCAGAAAAGTTTAAATTCCATTTTCTTTTCATCTTAGCTCCATTTGATGCCTAATAAAGTAGTGTTTATAAGCGCAGCGCTGCTTTGTGTAAAGGGGTAACCGCTGTATTTGTGCTTCTCTATAAGCATAATCTACTGTCAGTGAATATGCATTTTCATTCAGCCCATCTGCTGTTTTTGTTTAGATGCAAAAACAGCAGATGGACTTTTGTTTGTGTAGATTTTATAATATTAAACCTTTTATTAAACTTTTTTTTTTGTTGCAAAACTTCTATTATTTTAATTGTAAAGTTTGTTCATTTTACAGTTTGGGATGTTACCACTAGAGTCTACAACTACATCCAACATGATATTATTCCTGAACAACATAGAATTACACAATATTTTCTTTATAATGGTTTGTAATTGAAATGCAGACAAATTGTGTGTATGTATATTTCTTTCTTTTTTTTTATTTATTGGAATCAGTGGCAGTAATACAATTTAATATTTTACCAAAAAAAAATAAAAAAATACAGAAACTACAGTAGGCTTATTATTATTATTATTAAGGCAGGCTGCTATTTTTTGTTGCCCTTCCATCTACTTCTATTTGATACAAGTATTATGAAAAATTGCACCTTAGAGCAAAAAATATTTTTTGTCAGGATGACTTTTGTAATAATTAATTGTATAATTTTACTCTTCCATTAATGGTTTTCATGGGTGAACCGTAAACTTTCTGGTTTGTTAACTGTTGTACACTTGGGTTATAAAATTAAAGGTAGGGTAGAGGTCAGGTAAGGTAGATGCTAACAATAGCAAGCTAGCTTTGAAAGCATAAGATCCCACCCTTCCTGCATAATCACTCCAAAGCCACGCCGCCTCCAAAACACAAGAACGTGCACAGGCAGACTAGAGGCTAACCGGTGACGCGATGAGAGACGGCGATGGTGGAGGGTTGAATGCAACGCTGTCAGATTCCCTCATGTCTCATTCACCAATGAGAAAACATTACAGTACAAAGAGCATAATATTACAATAATAACGCCTTCCATTCTCGCTCGGTCTGCAATAGTGTAATGAAACGCACTGATGACCTGAAACGGTGCTTGGAGTAGGGCTGGACGATATGGCCAAAACTTATATCACAATATGTTTCTTAATTTCGGTCGATACGATATAATTCCGATATCGATATGAACACTATTTTTAAAAAAGCCTCGCAAAAACACTGCCAAGAATGCCCACAACAGATGTCTGTGCATACAAACTTATGGAAAATGAATTTGCCAAGTCTATAACACCTAATATAAACCACATAATATGTTATAAAAAAAACAGCACAAACTAATTAATGTTTACCTTTTATTTGTATTTAGCCTTCATACAAATGAGAAATGTGAAATCAGTCAAATAATCGTCTCAGACTCACCTAATTAATATTAATATCTTTAACTTCAAACTATAGACTAACTACCAGTCAAAAGTTTTTAATGTTTTTAAAGAATTATTTTCTGCTCACCAAGCCTACATTTATTTGATCCAAAATACAGCAAAAACAGTAACATTAAAATATTTTGTCTATTTAAAATAAGTTTTCTCTTTGATAATATTTTAAAATGCAATTTATTCCTGTGATTTCAAAGCTATATTTTTAGCATCATTACTCCAGTCACATGATCCTTCAGAAATCATTCTAATATTCTGATTTGCTGCTCATTTATTTATTTATGATTTAACACCATGTCAACAGCAGTGGCTATATTCATGGCAAGAGGGAACATTTCAGTTTCACAATTCAGTCATATATATCATTTCAAAACAGTTATATAACAATTTTGTTTGAAAATTATTTATATATATATATATGTATATATATGTATATATGTATGTACAAATATACAAAAACATACATATAATAAAAATAACAGGACCAAAAGTAATAAGAACAATTATATAATCTTTCAGCTTAATGCATGACAAAAAAATTTAAATCGTCCCAGGAGAATTCTTTTTGACTTGCTGCTTAAAAATCATTGTAGAATAATCATAGAGTAGAATTTTTTCAGGTTTCTTTGATGAATAGAAAGTTCAGAAGAACAGCATTGATCTGAAATAGAAATCTTTTGTAACATTATAAACGTCTTTATCAGCACTTTTGATTAATTTAAAGCATCCTTGCTAAATAAAAGTATTAATTTCTATAATTTCTTAACAAAAAAAAAAGAAATTATAGCCTACTGACTCCAAGCTTTTTAACGGAAGTGTATAATGTTACAAAAGCTTTTTATTTCAGATAAATGCTGACCTTTTGGATTTTGGACCTTTCTATTTATCAAAGAATCCTGAAAAAAAGTACTCAACCATTTTAAATATTGACAATCAGCAAATCGGCATATTAGAATGATTTCTGGATCATGTGACACTGAAGACTGGAGTAATGATGCTGAAAATTCAGCTTTGATCACAGCAATAAATCGCATTTTAAAATATATTCAAATAGAAAGCAGTTATTTTAAATAGTAAACATATTTCCAATATTTACTCTTTTTGCTCTACTTTGGATTAAATAAATGCAAGCAGAAGAGAATTCTTAAAAAAAAAAAAACTTAAAAATCGTACTATTCAAAAACATTTGACTGGTAGTGTACGATGATTATTCTTATAGATTGAAACAAATGTGCTTTAGCCAGTATAAAGAGTATGAAAATTGCTCTGAGATGCTGCAGAAAAAAAAAAGAGCAACAACAAAAACGTTGCTGAAGACGGGCTTATTATTGAAAATGCAAACTGTTTGTCTGCCAGCAGGAGGCGCTTTGAGAGCGGTAGAACTAGCGGTTTCTCCAGTAATGGCTGTAATCAAAGCAGTTCCGCTCATGAACACTTCATATCAGATCAAATGAAAATGCCATCGAACCTTTTGTGAAGACAGTCCTTTCCCTTCAGAGATACATTCATATAAAACACCCGCGCCGTGTTTTGATTTTGAAACGTGCAGTGCTCATGTTTATTCAACGAAGTCAAATGCCACAAATAAATCAGTGTATGGCAAACACTGGTAATGTATATCAGAAATGTGTTTAAAAATCATATCACCGTTATTGAAAAAAAATTATATTGCGATATATATTGATATTGAATTATTGTCCAGCCCTAACTCGGAGGTATGCAAATACATACGCTGACAGGCAGGTAGGGCAGCCTATCGTAGCCCTTGGACTGAGGGATATGATTGGAGGAACATTTTATGGTTCCTTCCACAGATGATATAAAGTGAAGTAGTGAAGTGAAGTGACATGTGGCCAAGTATGGTGACCCATACTCGGAATTATGTGTGCCTGATACAAACTAGGGCTCTCAAAATGGCTGAAAAACTCAATTCTAATTGTTTACATAAATATTATCAATATTCGAATTTAAAAGGCATCATTTTAGTTGGGGGGGGAAAAAAGCTGTTGGCTTCTCTCCTGAGGCCACAAGAGGGGGCATCGAGCTAAATATTTTGCACGTTTCTTCAAAGCATAATAAAATAACACGACTATCTTTGCATAATGCTTATAAACCATATATAAATAAGTTGCTTAAACAATTATATGTATAGTTTAATACATAGGACCGAAAACCAATCACAAAGAGTACTTTCTTCATTTAAAGACTTGAGATGCAGTGGGATGGGGAAAACAGCCATAAAGTCTTGAGATATGTTTTTTTTAAAAGTTGAACTTGCATTTTTACATGGCTTTCTAAACATGCAGGCTCTTTTCTGCGAGACGCGAGTGCAATGGTGATAGATGTCCCTCTAGAAAATGTGATAAATTTGTCTCGTTGTCAATATTCACAGTCAAGCGGGGTTCACACTGCCAGCAGTTCGCTGAAACAAAGCAGCTGGACATCATTGCGTGCAGGCAATTTCCGGCAAAAACAAAGCTGTTTTTAAAGCTATCTGGGAATGGCTTTCTGAAATTTGTCTCTGTGCTTTAAGCTTTAAACCCGTAGCCAGCTGACAGCCTCACTTTACTATTACTCTGTATTTTCTTGTATGTTAGATTGACTGACATTGAGTTACCACTAATTCCTTTTTCCTGCTTCCACAGGGTCTGCCTCCATGCTGAGATGTGTGCTAGCGACCTGTCCGATAGGCTGAGCTTGCTCTCTTTACCATGTAACTGCAAAAAGAAGAATGCATTATTCCTCCACTAGTCCACCTGTGGCTCCAGGGGAGCCTAGCGTCACCCTGCACCCCACGCCCAAGGTGCTGACCCTGTCAGCGGGTAAAAGAGTCATGGAGAATTCCTCCGCAAAACTCAACAGCTCGCTAGAGTTCCTGACTCTATCGGAATACATAACGCCTTCAACTGTTTGGCAGGACCCTGATCAGGGCCTGAACTTGTCCCTTCAGGTGTTCTTCTGCCTGGTCATCATCTGTGTGCTGCTGCTGGCCTTTCTCGGAAACATGGTGGTCTGCCTCATGGTTTACCAGAGAGCCGCTATGCGTTCCGCTATTAACATCTTGCTGGCCAGTCTCGCCTTTGCTGATATGATGCTAGCAGTCCTCAACATGCCCTTTGCGCTAGTCACCATGTTGACCACACACTGGATCTTCGGAGAGGCGTTTTGCCGCATGTCGGCTATGTTCTTCTGGATGTTCCTGATGGAGGGAGTAGCTATTTTGATGATCATCAGCGTGGACCGCTTCCTAATCATCGTGCAAAAGCAGGACAAGCTTAGTCCACGCCGGGCCAAAGTGTTAATTGCGGTCTCATGGTCTCTATCCTTCTGCTTTTCTTTCCCGCTTTCCATTGGCCATCCTGCCCTGTACATTCCCCCCAGAGCACCACAGTGTGTTTTCGGCTACACGGTGGAGCGTGGTTACCATGCTTACGTGATGCTCATTATGCTGATGTTCTTCTTTGTTCCATTCCTGGTGATGCTGTACACGTTCATGGGCATCTTGAGTACTCTTCGCCACAACACGCTGCGCATCCACTCCCACCCCGACTCGGTGTGCCTCAACCAGGCCAGCAAGCTGGGTCTGATGAGTCTGCAGAGGCCCTTTCAGATGAATGTTGACATGAGCTTCAAAACGCGTGCCTTCACCACGATCCTCATTCTGTTCTCAGTCTTCACCGCATGCTGGGCTCCGTTCGCCACCTACAGCCTGCTGTCCACCTTCAGTCGTGCGTTCTACTACCGGCAGAACTTTTTTGAGATCAGCACGTGGCTGCTGTGGACCTGCTACCTCAAATCAGCCCTGAATCCTCTCATCTACTACTGGCGAATCAAGAAGTTCCGTGACGCCTGCCTTGTTCCGTGATGCCCAAGTACTTCAACTTCCTGCCGCAGCTTCCTGGCCACACTAAGAGACGTATCCGCCCCAGTGCTGTTTATGTGTGCGGGGATCATCGTTCTGTGGTGTAGTGGAGGACATTTCTGAAACCTCTTTTGTAAATGTATAGTACAATCTTATCAAGCTGTGATATGTTTGGTCTTTCTTCAAACTGCAGGATGTTTTAGCTGTAAAAGATGGTACAGATGAGAAGGTTTACAGAGCCTGTACATTAAACTACTTTGATTGCACAATGTTTTTTATAGGTTTTAGATCTTAATAGAAGTTTGTTCATATATAAGTCAGGTGCTGCTATATTTGGTGAAAATGTGCAATCTTATGTTTTATGCCATGAATGTAATACGATTTTGTCTGCTGTACTTGTTTTGTTTTTTCCTGGCTTTGTGAACTGTTTTACATTTCAACATTTTCTATTTAATTTTATTGTTGATTGCTCAGCTATTCTGGTTTTAATTATTTTCAGTGTTGAAATAAGGGAAAGGCATTTGACAAAGGTATAAGCATGTTCCAAACTGATAAGTAGATGACTTTGTGGAAATCCGTGATTTTTAATGTGAATTTTAAAATTGTGATTTCCATGCCTGGAAGTGAATAAAATCATGGAAATGGATCAAATCAATTCATGGAATTCCTGTTGTCATATTTTTTTTTAAAATTCCTGTTCTCACAACTAAATGGAAATGTCTCCTGTCAATTTGTGTACAGTACAAGGTTGTATATATCATATGAACAGCAACTGACCAACTGCTTGTTGCTGACATGCCATTAAAAGTAAACAAAAACAACAATGACCAACCAACCAGCTGAAGGATATGATTTGATTGTTTTTTTTCCCTCTCTCTCAATATCAAATGGCAAGCATTTCAGAATAAATTAACAACTATTTGTCATGGAAAATCAGTTGAGACCACGGCGAGGGGTTGTTTTGCTTCTACAGTGTCCGTCTGAGCCTTTGTAGTGTGCCGCCTTCATTTTGATGATGATTTGTTCCTGAGGCTACCCGGGCTGGAGGTAAACCCTAAAGCTTTTTGAATCTAAAAGGTAATTTTCCTTTACTAATGTCCCTTGTGGGGTTCATTATTTCTCCAGCCACTTCTAATGAGGATGCTGTGGGCTTTAGAAGCTCATCAGAACCAAAGTGTGGAACTCTATTACTTAGCAACAGTATGTATTACTTGGCAACCAGCTTGTATTATTCAGAGTTAGACTCTCTGGTGGGAGTGTTTGTTTTTTGGAGATGCCGCTATAACATTGACATAAAACATGCTTTCTCAGAGAAGTTTTGTGAATTTGTAATGTCATTCAAAATAATTAGATGCTTTAAAATCACCCCATCTTGAATGATTTTTGTTGGTTTAACCAAATGGTCATGAACCAGTATGAGGTTTTCTTTTTTTAAAGAGGGTTTCCATCTTGTTAACATTTTAAAGAGTTTAAGCTAAAATACAGTGTTCTTGGAATATAAATGTTCCACCATGTGAGGTATAGACCATGTGGTCCATAAAATGAAATAATGAGAGAGATGTTTTTATTTAATGTTTAAATGCACAAAGTTGTATGTATGGTCATGCCAATGGGTAAATCAAGCTTAAAAATTATACACATTTTTAAAAAATTACACATTAAATTGCATTACATTTTAATTGTAATTTCAATTTTGTAAGTGTCCATTTGAATTACAAATCTGCATGTTTGTTAGCTCGCTTCAGATTCAGGAAATGTCTTTGAATTTTAGTCAAATATGAATAGTGGCTGGATGATGCTCAACATGTCTAAACACAACAACAACAAAAAACATTTGTAAATTTCATTGTATATATATGTTCATTTTAGTTTTATAGAACCACATTTATCACTTTTATCACACAGAACAAAAATATAGAGCAGCCGCACACCTTAATGTCATTATTTTTTTTTTTAAAGTAACTTGTTGCTATATTGACACCGACTTTTAAAATGCTTTATTTCTGTCTACATTTTATTTCTTGAAAGTGATCATGTAACTTTCATTCCTGTATATTTTATGAATATGCTTAATCAGATCCTATGCACCTGTTGTTCGTGCAAGTAGCTTTAAAGTGTGTTCTTACATTTTTAGAAGCATATTTATGTTCATTGGGAGATGATACGGTGGCCGAGAAGTGCAAAACAAATCACAATTCTGAAAACAAAGTAACAAATTACAAACGCAAATGCAAGTCTAAAAAACAAAACAACAATTCAGAAAACATAAGTCAGAAAACACAATGACAAATCTGAAAACAAATTAGCAAATCAGAAAACACAACGACAAATCGGAAGAGGTAGGTATAGTTTGAGACAGCGCCATTGGTTTGGGATTACTCACCACTGACTGGACGAGACATCTGTCAATCAACGTATACAGGAAGAACCAGCCGAAGAACAGCAGAGTCCTGGTAGAAAGTTCGGAGATGGTATTAAAGTAGCTCAGTTTAAATGTTAAAAGGGTTTTAAAAAAAAAAAAGTTTGGCAAAAGGCGGGATCGAACCCGGGTTGATCGCGTCAAAAAGCCGACAACACGCACATAACCATCTGTGCCACTGGAGCTGATTATGTACAGCTGCTTTTAAAGTGTTGACTAACCCAATCACATGTTGGCGAGCGGAATTACTGCCAACAAGGTGGGCTATTTGCACTAAGTGTAAATAGACACTCCGTATTTTTTATTCCATAGTAAGGGCAATTCATACAATACATTTAAACTGAGCTACTTTAATACCATCTCCGAACTTTCTACCA